TTACTGTCCAAGCCCACTACACAAACCCCCAATTTTGCCCACCCTGGAGTCAAAGCTGGGAGTTAGATAAGAAAAACAAACAAACAAAAACACAAACAGAAAAAAAGAAGACAACTCTCAATAGAATGACTGTAGCAGTCATTCTTCATGTTTTCCTCTCCTACCAGCCTCTTATTACTTACTTTCCAGAGTCCCCAGGTAATTGCTTTGTTTTATTCTGCACAGAGTTTTTAGCTGTAGGAGAGCTAGGATGCAAAAGACTTACTCTATCATGGCCAAAAATGGGAGTTTATATTTACTTTTAAAAGAAATAAATGTCAATTTCTCAAATAAAACTCTGAATATCATTACATTACCCAAATACAAGCTTTGGGAAAATACTATAAATATTTTATGGCTTTGTGTGTTTTATGAGTAACAAATAGTAAATATAAAAAAATTAGAAAACATAAAATGTTAAGAAAATAAGCACTCATATTTTACCATATAGAAATTACCTTTTAATATTTTGAGGAGATAATTCCAAACATTTTTATACTCTAAAGAGAGTGAGAATTTGCCTTATCAAATGTTAATTTTTTACATAAACCACCTCTATAACTCTTTTTCATTTAGATAACTTTGTCCTAGTCACAAAATCTGACATGTTTACTCATTTATGGAAAACCACAGGCAAATGAGAAATTTAAAAGATCAACATGTTCAACTGTGTCTTTCCAAGATCACTGAATAGTATGAAAATAGGATTCTAACATAAATGGAAAAACTTCACATTGCCAAGATAAAACCGTACAAAACAGGTTAAATTGTACCGCTGCTTTAACAATAATTATTGCAACTAATCTCACCTCAAAATAGTCCATTAATGAATAGGAACATATTGACCTTCTCAGTCCCTTCATTGAAATGACAACAGGATAGAAGAAGGAAAAGGAGAAGAGGGAGGAGGAGAAGAGGGAGGAGAAGGAAGAGGAGGGGAAAGGAAGAGGAAGGGGAAGGAAGAGAAAGGAATGGATGAAAAAATAGGAGAAAAAAGGAAAAGATACAACAAAAATCTGTATACAGATCTCAAAATAAATACAATTTAATTATTATGTAACAGCAATAATAATAATTTTTAAAATAACAATTTCTATGTATAGTCATTTTTTTTAAACCATCAATAAGTAATTACCATAACTACAATTAAACTTTCATGCAATGGAAGCTTTCAAATGTGTCAGCAAACTAAATTTTCCCATTCATATCTATATCTATAAAATAGGAAAAGAGATTCAAATACCTACTCAATTTGTGTCATAATTGTAATTTCCTCTGACTTTTAAGGTTATATACCCCACTTTCAAAATAAAATTCACAAACATGCTCTAGAAACCAGGAAAAATTTATGTATCAATTTTTTCTTACAACCTTAAAATTGTACCTTAAAATTAAAAAGTAAAGAAAGCCTCAAATAAATCCCAGTTATAATCAACACTCTCCAATAATCCCTACAGATCTTAACATAGTAAATTATTTATAAAATCAATAATAAAATCTAAAACTTGAAAAATTGATGACAATTTTTAAAGTTTTTTTTCCAAATGAGTGCACATAGCTTGTTTCATAGTGATATGAGAGTCACTGGTTAAGGACAGAATATTCCAAACCCTCCATCCATACAGTTACTCAAATTAACTTAAAAATAGTAAAACTGCATAGCACTATAATTTATCCTACGAAATAGAGAGTCATACATGAAATGCATTTAAAACATATCATGAAAACTAGAAACATCACAAACAGTAAGTTTTAAAAAGGTTAAAGATTGAGAAAAACACACAGGATGAAAATTTCATACTGAGTTTTTAAAACAAATCTCTAATTGAATTATGTATTCATAAAAAAAATAACATATTCCTAGGAAAAAGAAATATATTTGGGGGCTGGGGTTGTGGCTCAGCAGTATAGCGCCTGCCAAATATGTGCGGGGTGCTAGGTTCAATCCTTAGCACCACATAAAAATAAAATTTTAAAAAGTAAAAAAAAAAAAAAAAAGAAAGAAATATATTTTGGAAAAAATTTATTTTTTGACAAATAGTAGAAAATTCAAATGCTCAAATATCAAATGCATTAAAATGAAGGAGTTGACAGGAATGCCAGCAATATAAAATAATGTACCTTTAGTTAAGAATACAAAAATTAACTCTAGCTATTAACTGATCTTTCAAAGGAAGAAAGAAAACAAAGCTTCTCAGGCATTCTCACACAAAACTAAAATCAAAACAAAATTTGGTGTCAACATACCTTATATACCTTATATACAAACAGAGATATGAAAAATTGTGGTATATATGTGTATTAAGAATTGTAATGCAAAAAAAAAGAGTACATGTATAATGGCATAATTCAGCGTGAACATACTTCATATACTTTAATTGTGCTGTATATGGGTAATAATGAGTGTAATGCATTCCACTATTGTCATGTAATTAAAAAATAAATTAAAAAGGGAAGATGATCAGAAAAACAATAAAAAATTGTGTTTTCTAAATAAATTAAATACTTGTATTATTTAACTCCAATGAAGAGACATCATTTAGCCTGATTATAATGTTTACACATTATAATCAATAAGAATGTTAAAACCAAGCAGACCTAGTTTTAAAAGTATTATATCAAAATATTTTAGATATTTTAATTTTATTATAAGAAGCAAAGATTTAATCCTCTGAACAGTTAAATAATTGTGCAAAGTACTCTATGTACTAGGAAATGTACATCAAAAGTTTCAAATGGCTAAGGGCAAAGGCAAGTTTAAAAGGATAGCTCCACAATTTCATTTTTCTCTTTGATGTTGCTCTCTGGCAAGAGGACTTTGTCCTTCTGTGGGATTTCCTGTGCTCTTCTCCCACATTGGGAATATGACTTCCCTCCAACAGCAACTTTCCCTACACTTTCAAACATGAAAATGTTTTTCTTTTGACTTCTTATCCTCCCTCTCATTAATTTTGTTTCTCTCTTCTCTCACTAGCATACTCCCAGAATTAATAGGAGATCCATATTACTTTCATCTCCTACCCATTTCCAAAGCTTCTACTTGTGCTAATTCTATGACCCAAACATCCTCATTCTCCACTCTCCACTGCTTATTCTACTATCTAAAGGCTTGAGCTCTTCTTCAATCTTGCCACCACCCATATCAGAAGGACTCCAAAATATGCCTTTAGCCCTCCCATCTCATGAAGCTCTAGGCCTTGAGCTCTGCAATTAATGTTACCACCTCTTTAAACTCCATTAATCTAAAATAAAACTTTAAACCTCTAAAATGGTTATCCTATCTGATAGTCAATTAACAGCCAACATTTCCATTTTTCAGAAACAAACATTTAGGTCCCTTCAGTTCAGGCCTCCAATCAGTCATTGAGGATCAAAGGGTTTTCTTTTCTATCCTTTCAATCTTCCCAGCAATCACACTAACACAAAGTCCACTTTGTGTTAAGCATCAAAAAGGTAATTGATCTCCTGTGTCAAATTCTTCTCACATCAATAGTACCTTCACAATGCCACGAAGACAATTTTTCTAAAGCACTGCTTTCACTAAAGACAATGATTAGTAGAAAGGTTTTTAAGTTTTCTAAATTAATAATCCCTAATTTAGGTGAATAAATGGAAATGGACAACTGGTATACTGCTGGTTGAAATTATTAGAAACCTTCTGGAAGTTGATGAACCAAAGATGTGATATAACCTAAGAAAACAACCAAATATGAATAAAAAGATTCTGGTAAAGAATTTTGTTGCAGTATTACTTATATTAACACCAAAGTGTAAGAAACAGAAATAGCAGAATACTTAAACTATACAATATCTATCCAAATAAAAGTGAATGTTATCATTAATAGTCATATTCATAGAATTCTTATAAATTTATATAAAAAGTTAAACTGCACATAATATAGTATTTATAAAATGACCTAATTTATTTGAATTTTAATTTTATAAAATGATATAGGACAAAAAAGGAATGATGTATACACCTGAAATTTAAAAGCTAAAATTCTCAAGGTAGCACTCACAGATCCAATTTAATCCAGTTGCCAACACTGTCCACTAATTCCATACATAAATCCCAGAGACTGTGTCAGGACAGTTCACTTATACAACCAAAGCTTTCTTCCTGTCTACTTCTGCCTTGAATCCCTCCTTTTCCTTCTGCCCACCTATCTAAATACTTCCATGCCCCTAATTCTCTGTACATGAAAATTGCTATCTCCCTGAGTTTTTTTTTTTAACCCAAATGACTTTGCTTATTCATGTTCACCCTGACTTCCCTCCTGTTAACATCAGCATAGTCTCATGCTGCATAATTACATCTTGATCAACAACAAAGCACATATGTGATAGTGGTCCCATGAGTATTATGGAGCTGTAACGTTTTCATCACCTAAGTGATGTCATATTCTGTCATTATTTCAGAGTACACATCTTATTAAAAAAAAAGTTTACTGTAAAACAGTGTGCCTTGTTAAGCCAGCAACGGCCTCATGCATCTCATGTCTTACTGCATCTCTTGATTGGATTAAGAGACCCGCACTGAATAATAAACGCACACTATCTAGGTTTGTGTAAGTATTGTACAATGTTCACACAATGGTGAAACCACCTACTGACACATTTCTTAGAACATATCCCTGTTGTTAAATGATATGTGATGATATCTATCATATAATTCACTTTGGTATCTTATGAGATAGTATCTTAAAATATTATTTAACTATTTTATGTGTATATCTCTCATTTCACCAATAAGAAAGTTAGCTTGCCAAGGACAGGAAATATTTTATATTGCTTTGGAATGGTATTTGTTTCCCATACTTAAAGTCCTTCTTAAAATCAATATAATAATAGACATCTAGCATCCAAAATTCAAGCACTAGAATTAAATTAGCTCAGCTGTAATTCACATACAATATGACTCTTCTACATCAACATATGCATCAAAAAAATGCTACTTTTACCCCAAGATTCCAACTATTCAGGCGAGGTTCAAGGTCACTGTCATCCAAAGAAATAGGAGATTTTTTCAAATGAACTTCCTGAAATATAAAATAGAAAGGGAAGAAGAGAAGGAGAAAAGAAATAAAAGATGAGAGAATGGAAGAAAGAAACAAAGGAAACAAGAGGAAGAAAGGAAGAGCAAGAAGGTAGAAAAGAAAACAAGACAAAATATATGTCATTCAGAGTAATGAGAGTTTTTTGTACTTATTTGGTAATGCTATATTACCCTCCAAGGAAAGGATTATGTTATAACTAAGCTAGAGTTCTCAATTCTAACTAATGACTGTTTAGTATAGCAGCTTGGGGCTATGAGATGCCTTAACAATATATTCACACAGTAACTAGATTTAGGGAAAAAAAACATCAAAAGAATATTTTAAAAATTAATCCAGACTCTCCTCTTTAAGTTCTTTTACAAAAAGTTTTAATTGTGGTATACCACAGTAGCTTGAAAGGGGTTGGGGGGTTGGGGAGGAACACTTGAAAAGATGAATTATTTACTCTCATTAAAATTAGTTAACAGGGAAGTTTTGTATTGATGTCCAAAAAGCTCTTTGTTCTTAAATTAATTCTAACTCATACATTGAATAAAAAGAGAAATAAGTTTTGGATTCACATTATGAAAACACAATTATGGGGATTCTTTACTTTTTAAAAAAAAATTCTGCTTTTTTTCTCCTGTATTACTATATTACATATTTATCAACCAGATTAAAACTACAATTAACTGAAGACAACCTAAGATCTGTGGCCAGAAATTAATAATTCCAAAGCACTAAAAACTTAGAAAGGTAAATCTGTATAAAATAATAATGTCTATTTTATAGCCCCAAATTTTTAAAGTTAAATTTGTTGATACAGCATTTTCATGCTTTTGTAGAAAGCCTCATTACTAACAAATAAACCTCTTTACCTATCTTCATTTAAATTAATATAAAGTGATGAAGGAAAAAATACACTAAAATGTTCTGCATACTTTACTAATCTCAAATTTATGTTCAACAAAATGTTGACTTTCCATTATTTATATACTATATTAAAATTCATTATCACTTCTTACTGGTGGTACCTTGATTTTTGTGTTTTCTTTGTGAACAGAACTTCTTAAATAAAAAAACATACCTGCCTTGATTGAGTAAATATACCGTAAATTATTATTAAAAGTGTGCTGCCTCTTATATTAAATTTCATGTTCCAAACTATCATTGGAGAAAATGAAATGAGTTATGTTTAAAGAAATATGTGCTAAAATAGTCACATGTTATACATGATGTCTCCTGTAACTAAGTCATATACCCAAGATAGCCAAAGTAGGAAATAAAGACTTCAGTGAGCAAGTGCAATTTTTCACTTTGCAAACCTTATTCAAACTAAATCTTTGTTAAACACAGAGATGCAAGAGAGACATTCATATTTGAAAATAAAAATAGTTCACCCCAATCAGAAAAGCAGTGTTTCCTATTTGACTATAAATTAATCCCTATTTCTTCTTAATTTCCAAGTGTTTATTAGGTAAAAGGGGAAAAATAGATAAATAAAAAATAAAATGTTTCAGTTTTTCTTCGATATGCTGGAGAAATGATAGACTTAGCAGCATACCTTAGAGTCTCTGAGAAAACAGAAGGAATACCATGGTACACCACTATCTTTCACATCAAAATGTTCTCCTTTTCCTTCATACTTTATTCATTGTTTTTAAGTAACCACTGGAACTTTGACAATATAAAACTAAAACTATGTGGAGTTATTTTAAACAATTAAGAACAAATAAATGTAAAATACAATCTTACAGAGTTCTTTGGGATAACATTTTGTTCTTCTTCTTTGTAAGATGGACTTATAGAGCGTGAGCTCATTCGGTGCTTCCCAGTGTATTGCTCTCTATAAAGATATCAAAACAGCAAAAATCAAAATCTGGAGAATTCAGAGGACACAGAGTGTTCAAATCTACAATCACCAAGTCTTTTCTTTTGAATGAAATGATTGATAGTTTATATTCACAATGATGGTTCAACAGCAGAAAAAAAGATCTACAAATAATAACCATTTGTATTTTTCACATTTTATTTCATTTAGAGTAAATCAAAAGTAAAATGTCCCACAAATGCCATATACTTGCTTATAAATAAATTCTATTTTAAGTGAGACTATAATAAATCATATGTATTTAAATCTTTTCTCCTCCTACACATATTCATATTTATATTTTGAGATCATATATTCTGAGAGATCATTGTTTACAGCTTAGCAAATTTTGTTGGATTTAAGACAAAACCTTAAAATATATAAAATAACAAAACTTTCAAGGAGCTTAAAGTCTCTATTAATCTGAAACCATGTTAGAAACCACATATATAAAATCTTTTATTAAAATATATACCATGTTAATTCATGTAAAATGTGATAAGTACAGGATAAGAAGGAAGACAGTTTAAATGCACTTTACCAAAAAGACTCTTCTCTAATACATCATACAAAGATACCATTCTCAAATATACTACTCTCACCTAGAGTCTCTCTTTATGTTTTAATTCAAGTTACTTCAATGAAAGCCCCATGGTTATGAATACCTATTCTCTATTCAACCACTTCAAGAAGTATAAATCAGAAATTATTATAGAGCAGGACACCCCCATCCATGTTTACTTTTCCCTACAGTGGTAGTCACCCCCAATCAACTAAAATCTGAAAATGTTAAAGAGAACATTCCAGAAATGAACCATTCATAAATTTTAAATAACTTTTAATTTGGTATACTATTATAATTGTTCCTATTTTCATATTATAGTTAATATCTTAATATGCCTAATTTATAATCAAACTATAAGAGATATGTACATAGGGAAAAAATAGAGTATATGCAGAATTCAGTACTATCTACAGTTTCAAGAGCCTTAGAACCTATTTTCTATGATTAAGGGGACCTCTGTATAGGGAATTAAGAGTCACTAACTTTCAACCACAACCCATATCAGGATTTCCTCACAAACACAAAGTATTCCCAAAAGACAAACTATGAGTTCAAAAAGTTCATATTAAAACTCATAGTATATTTTTTGGTAGCAACACTGATAAAAATAATAATCCCTAATCTGGTTACTACATATATAGAATATCTTCAAAAATCTGTTCTGTCGGGGCTGGAGTTGTAATTCAGTGGTACAGCATTTGCCTAGCATGTGTGAGGCACTGCATTCGACCCCTAGCACATGAGAAAAATAAATAAGATAAAGGTATTGTGTCCATCTACAACTAAAAGAAAAATATTTTAAAAATCTGTTTTAAAAAGAGTGCTATTCATTTTTCATACCCTTAAACAGTATCCCAGATATACAAATAGTTAAAATCAAATAGACAAAGTAATATTTTGAGGATAATTTCACCAGTCAATGTACTTGAGCTGATACACGCTTTTACAACTCAAGTGTGTCGGAAGAGGCAATCTGATAAGCAGTGGCCTATTCTTTAAAAATTGATTAAGCAATCATAAAAAGAGCTATACTTAAAAATTGAAAAATGTTTAAATATTAAAAGTAATTCTCATAGAAAATATTAATAAAAAAGAAGCCTGAAACATTTATCTATTTATTGCACAGGGTGCATACATAAAATAACACATTCTTTTGATTCACATGTAGCTGTCCTTTATACCAATGAACCTCTTTCCCTTCACAATAAATTTTCAGAAGTTACTGGATCCATGTCCTACCCTGTCATATACTTTTCAATCAACTATAAATTGACTTCTACTTATAGTAAAAGTACTATAAATAAGGACATCAGTGGTCTCCTACACACTCAAGCAAATGAGTTGAAATCTCTCTTTACCATACTTGATCTCACTAGAAAATTAGAAATAGTGTTTTAAATGTGTCACATTCATTGGCTCCATAAAACCATTCTTCCCTGGTTCTTGTCCTGTACTTCAAAAATATCCTTCACAGTAACTTGCTCTGGTTTTTCCTTCTCTACCAACACCATTTGTGTTGCAACCCCAGGGTTCTGTGTCTAACCTCTTTGTTTTCATTTTACATGCTTTTCCTGAGTGATCCAATATACTATTAATATTTCAAATAATAAGAAGTTTTGCTTACCAAATCTACATCTCCCATCCAAATTGTTCTCTTAAGACTACAAATCCATTATAAATACAAATTGAATAGCCCTGTCTCCAATTCAACATGTCCAAAACTAAACTCATTAAATTGGCCCTTAAACAAGTACCTACGAAAGCCAAATAAAGCAAAGGCATTGCAGAAGCCAGCTTCTTGGAAGGCAACTGATCCAACTAAAGGAGGAGGTCAGATTTGCTAAAATCTGGCTAGTATAAGAAACACAGGACATTAGGCACAGAAGTTTCATTTCTTGCCATGAGACTGTCTCCAGCTGGAAACAAAATTAACCTGAACTCAAAATACAAAAACAGCCTCAAATTCACAGTGATGGGGCTAGTGGTCAAGGTGAACAATGCAACTGTGATTGGGAGAAAAATGACAATCCTAAAAAGTTTCTTTATGAATAACTAGTGCTCCTGCCACACAGAATAGTAAGACAGTATACATCTGGTACTGAGGACATGCTCATAAGTGAGCTCATGATATTGTACCAGGGCCAACTAGAAAAGGAGGCTATGGCTCAATAAATTCCAGGGTGTCAAAATTTACATAGAAAGATGGGGTTAGGATTGTGGCTCAGCGGCAAAAGCACTCGCCTAGCATGTAGAAGGCCCTGGGTTCAATCCTCAGCACCACAAAAAAATAAATAAATAAAATAAAGACATTGTGTCCAGTTACAACCAAAAAATAAATATTAAAAAAATTTAAATTAACATAGAAAGAAAAAAATTCAATACCTTAGTAAAATTTTCTAACATACCGTTTACAACTCTTGAACAGTAAAACTACAGGAAATATAAGCTCTCCAATTTGCTCTTTTCTCATGCTGAACTAGTTCAACACTTTCAAAGTATCTCATATTGATTCCAAATAATAAACATAAAGTTGGCCCTATCCAAACAGAGATAAGCAATGAGATACATAATAAAATCTAAAGCCTAAAGAATGGCCAAATGTCCTTCTGAAAAAAAATTAATTAAGGGGATGATGTCAGTAATACAGCAGAACATGAAGCCCCAAACCCTCCTTTCTTCTATAGACACACAAATTCAACCACAATATGCAGACCAATTCCCTTTGTGAGACATCCAGAACCAGTATGAGAGGCTCCTATACCAGAAACAATGAAACAAACTGCACTGAAGCAGATAAGAAAATTGGTGACATCTCTTGCCACAACCTTCCTCTAAACAAACAGCCCCATATGATCAGGAGGAAATCCCCTGCTCCCAGCTTCTCCCTAGGAAGGAAAAAAGAGGAATGGACAATACATCCAACGTTCTGACTTTCCCAGGGGGTACTTGAGGGTCTGATTTCTGTATCTGACAAGAATAGGCCACAAGTTGGGAACTGCTGAGAAAAAAGGCTATGGCTTGAACTAGTGTGAAAAATCTGGTCATAGCCCCTCCTACCAGCTCATCAAAGAATTACCTTCTTCCTAAGGAAGGAAAGAGTTGGAGCATCCATGTAACATTCTGATTTTTGGAGGAGGTCACCTGACGAACTGGACTCTGTAAGAACTAACAGGACCAGGGGCTACTGAGAACAAAGGAATAATTTGTACTATTATGTACTCAGAGCCAGAGTTCCTCTTCCTGCTTTGGCATGATATGACTGGGAAACTCAAAGCCCACAGTTTCTCTCGGGGGGGGGGGAAAGAAGACTAAAGTATATGTCCAATACTCAGACATTTTAGAGTACTGCCCGACGGACTTGGTCCTATTTTATCTCTCTTGATGCTCTGACAGGATCAAGTATAGAGGTGGGTGAAATTTTTAAAAAGAAAAAAGAGTCAGGCTACTGCTCCTGAAAACCCGCAGTACAAGGGAAAGATACCAGAGGGAGCAAGATATTACAAGTTCCTGAAAAGAGAAATTAGCAAATACCCCTAATTAAGAATTTGTACGTGACAGTCCAGAGGAGATACATACTCAGACAAGGTTTGAGATGGGCTTGGAATCTCCACTCAGACTGATTCTTCAACGTTTTACATGTACAAAGACACAGTTCACAAAGATAGGACAAGAGTACTATTTTCAGGTATACAGACACCAACAAGAAGTATTAAGGAAAATGAAATACGGAACAAAGGAACAAAATAAATCTCCAGAAACTAACCCTAAAGATATGGAGATATATAAATTATTGACAAAGAAATCCAAATTAACTACCATCAAAATACTCAATAAGCTTAGGACAATTATGTATGTACAAAAAAAGAATGTAAAAAAGTAGAAGGAAAATGTTTCTAATAGAAAATTAGGAAATTAAGAGTGTAATAGCCAAACTAAAAAATTAACTAGAGGGGTTTAACAGTAGCCTGGATCAAGTACAAAAAAAGAGTCATCAAACTCAAAAACATCACATTTGAAATGATCTAGTAAGAAGAAAAAAATAAAGGAGAATGAAAAGCAATGAAGTTGAAGGGACTGTGGGACAATATCAAGCAGTACAATATATGTATTATTGTAATGAAGAAAGAAAAAACAGAAAGAGGCATTAAGATTATTTAAATAAATAAATACTTAAAGAAAGCTTACTTAAAGAAATAATCTGGAAAGGGAAATGGATCTCCAAAAAGTTCTAAACAAGTTAAATATAGAGAGATCTACACTAAGACACACCATGAATCAAATTGTCAACACTCAAAGAAATAAAGAGAGAAAAGTAACTCATATTTAATAAAGGAGTCCCCATAGGATTTTCACTGGATTTCTCAGAAGAAACCTTACAGGCCAGGAGAGAATGATACATTCCAAATACTGA